TGAGGGCTGTACCTTGTCGTGCTCGAACAGCTGCAGCAGGAAGGTGGCCACAGTGGCCGTGATGCCGATGAAGAGGTTGATGACGATGAGGAACACGTAGGCGGTGCTGGGCACTTCGAACCAGAACGAGGCCGGGTACATGATGGGAGTGATGGACCAGCTAGAGAGAGAGGAGCCAAATACGTGGGTACACTTTAACGAGGACACAGGGACAAGAGCAAATCTAAGACTGAAATCATTACTTATGGCAACTGCAGTAATGTAACATGACAATTTAAACAGAGTTTCTTCAATATGTGGACTGAAGTCTTTGCTGAACAGCTAGCTCCACATCACAAAACCAGGCGGGTTAAGTGGGACCACGGACATCCCAGCAGGGCTAGAGCGACATGTACTCACCCATACAGCAGGAAGAGAGAGAGGACTGCTGGGAAGTTGGTGGGGGAGGTGTAGGCTGGCAGGTCGAACACGAACAGGATGAGCACGCAGCAGGTGGCCGGGACCAGGTAATTCAGCTGAGAAACGCAGAGGGGGACCGACAGCAACGGCACAAGGTGAGAAGTGTTTTCATAGGCCAACGCCACACTCCTGCTCCTCCGGAAAACACCTGATCTCACACGGCGAAATTAATGACCTGAACTCCCTTATCCCACATCACCCCCCCCCAACCCCGACACAGCTCCCTCCCCCCCGTCTGAACCCCACCCGCCCATGACCCCCCTCACCATGTCCCAGATGTAGTTGGCCAGCCAGTAGATGACGGGGTCGCAGCCGCTGACGAACTGCAGGTGCTTGGCCTTGGTGGACCTCTCTGCCACCAGGAAGACCACGAAGCTGGCCGGCACGAAGGACATGGCCACGATGATGAAGATGGCGATCACCACGTCTGTGCCCTGCAGCCTGGGGTCGAGAGAGAGAGAGACGGGCAGGCTGAGGCAGGCAGGGGGCACGTCGCCACGCCCCACAACTCCCCGGTTCATGGTCAGGAGTCCGATTTAATCGAACGGAACCAACAGCTCCTGAAGGTGGTCCGAATCACCCCACTGGTCAGCAAAGGTGCGTTTGCACTCTGTCGTCCAAGTGGACAACGTGGACAGGACGCTGGGCAGTAAGGCACAGCACTACACTCAGAGCAGCAGTCAGTCTCGGCTCATTATTCCCTTGCACTGCATCACACTACGCTGCAGCAAAACTGAAGTCCCAGAGGAGAGACAGGCTGACTGACTGGCTGCTGAGCGAGGCAGCACAGAGGAGAGACAGGCTAACAGGCCGCTAAGTGAAGCAGCACAGAGGAGAGACAGGCTGACTGGCTGGGTGGCTGCTGAGCAAGGCAGCACAGAGGAGAGACAGGCTGTCTGACTGGGTGGCTGCTAAGTGAGGCAGCACAGAGGAGAGACAGGCTGACTGACTGGCTGGCTGCTAAGTGAGGCAGCACAGAGGAGAGACAGGCTGACTGGCTGAGGTAGGGGCAAAAGTGAAAAGGAGAGCAGATTCAAGATATGGGGAAGAGAGGAGATGGGGAGGAAGAGCGCGAGGGTGGAGAGAAAGAGAGAGGAGGCGGGGAGGAAGAGAGACGGGAAACGGACAGGTCGTGAGTGAGGAAGAGGCTCTTACAGGTAGTCCAGAGACAGACTGGCGCTGGTGCGATTCATGGGGTGGTTGGTCACGGTGATACCTGTGGACAGGTAAAATCAGTATTTCAGTTTGAGGCGTGGAGACACCCCACAGGGACACAGGTGCACCATGTCAGCCTGTGCATTTGAACCCATGACCCCCGCCCTACCCCATCCACCTGCCCCACCTGCCCTGCCCGCTCTCACCATAGGCAGCAGGGTTGCCCTGGCTCTTGGGCAGGTTGGCCCTCAGGATGGCGTTGTTCAAAGCATTCAGGTAGGTGGGCATGCTGTGGTAGCCCTTGTTGTTATAGAGCACCTGTGGGCAAGGGGAGAGAGACGGGGAAACACACCTGAGCTCACCTGTCCCACCTGGGCTCATGGTCCCCCTTCTCAGCCCCTCAGGGGGTGGCCAGGAGGAAGATGAGACGGGCTGCCTATCATTCCTCCCAGATTCCTCCCTCCCTCCCTCTATCCTTCCTACTCCTCCTCACCCGGACGGGAAAGGCAGACCAGGCTGCCCACAGGAGCAAGAAGGACAGGTCAGCGAGTCAGGTGAGTGAAGGAGTGTCACAATCCTACTCCAACTCCCACCTGGAGACCGGCTGGTCTCGGTTTGCCTGGCGTAGCTGCTGTAGTGATCCCTCACTCCCTACTCCTGCCTTCACCCCTCCCCGGCGACCCGAAGGATCTCGCCCTCCTCTCCCCCCGACATCCGCACCTGCGCTGATCTCCGGACTGCGATCTTGCGCACCATGGGGGGGGTCTTGATTCCGAAGGATGCCGGGATGGATTTCTGGATGTTCCCGAAGGTAAGACCGCCGTACCTGAGGGGAGTGGAGGAGAGAGAGAGATGGAGAAAGACATTCGTGTGGCGTTGCTCCTAGGTCCCCGTCTCCACTGTCTGTATCCGCTACAGGCCCGCCTGGTTCTGACCCAGTCGACCCGTCTCTGGGTTTCTCAGTTTCAGAGTCCACAGACCCCCGCGCTCACCTGTGCAGCCGCAGGCGGTCGGAGGTGTACAGCAGGTACTCGGAGACGTTGCGGCCCGTGATGTCCACCAGGATGTCGCCGGTCACGACCTTCATGAGGGGGGGCCGCCCGCCCACGCCGCTGGGGCAGGAGAAGCCGGTGCCCTGCATGGAGCAGGTGCACCTGATGGGCTCGTGGATGACGTGCGGAAGGGAGGGGGGGGAGGTCACCGCCTCTGTCCAGACGGAGAAAGAGGCTGGATCTTTATCAGGGCCAAAACCACAACAAGCACGACGGGACAGACACGCCTGCAGAGTGACTATCGTGGACACGGCCTTCGCGTTACCCACCACACAGGCCTTCAACCTTTCCTTAAGCAGTCAGAAATCCTGGATTTAAAAGCTGCATTGATTTAAAAAAAATATTTTAAGAAGGCGGGGGGACAGAGAGGGGCAACAGAGGACTGAGACAGAGAGAAGTGAGTCGGGGGGGACAGAGGAGTGAGACAGAGAGGGGGCAGAGGAGTGAGACAGAGAGAAGTGAGTCGGGGGGGACAGAGAGGGGGCGGAGGGGTGAGGCTGAGAGGAGTGAGATTCTGCAGTGGGGTGAAAGAGACAGAGAGGGGGTGAGACAGAGAGGGGGCAGAG